AATATACATGATTCTAAGAAAATAATGTAAATTATATTGAGGAAATTGTCACAAAAAAATAATAAACATTAATAAAATAATTAATTTCTTTTTAAGAAAAAAACAAGTTATATGCATTTTTTAACACACGTGTTTGATGCACATTTAACTATTTTCAATATTCATTTAGATCATTTGATGTGTTTTCTATATATTTCTCGAAATGAGTTTTGGAGAATATAGAAAATTTATGCATTCGACTACTATACAATCATCGATGAATTTTTAAAGTTAGTTTGTTATCGAAATTCTTAATTTTTTAAATGATGTCTCTTTTGACAATAAAAAAATTTAAAAGTTTATTAGGAAATTTTCTAAATGATGTCAAAAATTATTATGTGAAAAAATAATAAATATTAATAAAATAATTGATTTTTTTAAGAAAAAAGATGAGTTATATGCATTGTTAACACGCACATTTGATATGTGTTTGATTATTTTCGATATTCATTTAGATCATTCAATATATCTATAATATAGTTTTCGAAATGAACTTCGAGATAATATAAATGGTTTATGGTAGATTTTTATAAAAAATTAAATAAATCACCAAATAAAAAAAATTGACACAGAAAAATATTAATCACACAATGAAAAGCAAAATTAACATGGAGCATCATATAATAGAATTAAAATAAATAAAAAATATTACAATTGTCCCTTATGCTCCTGGATGTCAGGAGACAATTTGCTTCTGGAGCATCCAGGAGACAATTGTCTCTGTGCAATTGATGCACGGAGTTGGTTTTTTTTTTTTTTTTTTTTTTTTTAATAATGATGCAAGTGTCAATTTTTATTTTTTTATGGGGTGATTGATATATTTTTTTTTTTGACAAATTTTTTCCTTTTTTTTGTGTCAAATTTTTTCCTTTTTTTCATTGGGTGATTTTTTTAGCTTTTTATTTATTTATAAAAATCTACTATAAATCTTCTATATTCTCTCGAAATTCATTTAAAAACTATATTATAAACGCATCGAATGATCTAAATGAATATCAAAAATAGTTAAATGTATATCAAACGTGTGTTTTAAAAAATGCGCATGACTAGTCTTTTTTTTTAAAGAAAAATCAAATATTTTATTAATGTTTATTATTTTTTCGTGATAATAATTTTTGACGTCATTTATAAAATTTCCTAATAAACTTTAATAAAATTTTAATGTAAAAAAAGACATCATTTAAAAAATTAAGAATTTCGATACCAAGCTAACTTTATAAATTCATCGATGATTGTACGATATTCGAATGCATAAATCTTCGATATTCTCTCGAAACTCATTTTGAGAACTATATCGTAGACACATCGAATGATCTAAATGAATATTGAAAATAGTTAAACTCACATCAAACATGTGTGTTAAAAAATACGCATAACTCCTTTTTTCTTAAAAAAATTCAATTATTTTACAATGTTTATTATTTTGTCGTGTTGATTTTCTCAATATAATTTACATCATTTCCTTTAAAAAAATTATGCGTATGACTTCAATTATTTTTCTTTTTGGACATAAAAATTCCTAATAAAATTATTATCACTTATAATTTACATGGGTTATAAAATGTTATACTATTTTTCCTACTTTTTTCCATTCCTTTACGCAATATCTATAAAAATATATATATACTTCTTTTCTTCATTCCAAAAAAAAAAAAAACACAAAAAAACAAAAGCAACTCCATGCATCATGGAGCAAATGCTCCGTGATGCAAGGAGCAATTTTGCTCCTGGCACCTAGCAGATTTTTTTTTTCATTGGGTTATACATAATATTATTTTTTTTAAAAAATGATGTAAATTATATTGAGAAAATTGTCACAAAAAAATAATATATATTAATAAAATAATTAATTTTTTAAATAAAAAAGATGAGTTATACACATTTTTAACACACACGTTTGATGTACGTTTAACTATTTTCGATAATTATTTGGGTCATTCGATATATCTATAACATAGGTCTCGAAATGAGATTTGGGAGAATTTAGGAGATTTATGCATTCAACTACCGTACAATCGTCGATAAATTTATAAAATTAGTTTGTTATCGAAATTCGTAATTTTTAAAATGATATCTCTTTTAACATTAAAAAAATTTAAAAGTTTATTAAGAAATTTTCTAAATGACGTAAAAAATTATTGTTGCAAAAAAAAATAAACATTAATAAAATAATTAATTTTTTTAAAAAAGACGAGTTATACTCATTTTTTAACACAATTTGATGTACGTTTAATTATTTTCGATATTTATTTAAATCATTCGATGTGTTTATAATATAGTATTGAAATGAGCTTTGAAAGAATATAAGATTTGTGGTAGATTTTTATAAAAAAAATAAAATTAATCACTTAGTGAAAAAAATGACAAAAATAAAAAAAAAATAACAAATTTTGCTCCAAGTAGGAATTCTTTCTTTCTTTCTTTTTTTTTTTTTGCCAATTTTTTTTTCTTTCTCTTTTTTTTTTTCACTGGGTGATTTATTTAGTTTTTAATAAATATCTACCATAAATCTTCTATATTCTCTCGAAAATCATTTCTAGAACTATATCATAGGCACATTGAATGATATAAATGAATATCGAAAATAGTTAAACGTATATCAAACATGTGTGTTAAAAAATGCGTATAACTCTTCTTTTTTCTTAAAAAAATTCATTATTTTATTAATCTTTATTATTTTGTCGTGATAATTTTCTTAATACAATTTACATTATTTTCTTTAAAAAAATTTATGTGTATGACGTCAATTATTTTTCTTTTTGGACGTAAAAATTCCTAATAAAATTATTATCACATATAATTTATATTGGTTATAATTTATTGTAGTAGGGATAATAGATAATAGGGAATGAACCTACAGTAACTTACTTGTTTAAGTCAACAATGGAAAACAATAAAGCAGTTGCATTAGTTTCATTTTTGCGGATGAACAGTATAAATAATTAAAGCTTTTTTTCAGTAGAAATAATGATGAACGAGTTTAACTACAGTAGGGAACCAGTTTAGTGTAAAAGCTCTGCCTCAAAATGAATAATAATGTTGGCATCCTCTCTTTTAAGGTAAAGGGGAGATAATAGGGAATGAACATGAAGCTACAATAACTTACTTGTTTAAGTCAACAATGGAAAAGAATAAAGCAATTGCATTAATTTCATTTATGTGGATGCATAGTATAAATAATTGAAGCTTCTTTTAGTGGAAATAATGATGAACGAGTTTAACTACAATAGGGAACCATTTTATTGTGAAAGCTCTGCCTCAAGATGAATAGTAATGTAGACATCCTCTCTTTTAAGGTAAAGATGATTATTATATTTCCCTTGTTGAAAAAATTACAAATAAGTGATTAAGTTATTGTCAATACCATGAGATTAGTAAAATATTTAAAGAATAATATCAAAAAATGAGGGACAAATGATTGATTCTGATTTAAAAACATAACAGGTTGAATGAATGATTTTTAGAGATAAATAACAACTTACTCATATGCGTGTCTGAATAATTTACTTTTTCTATAAAAACAAATTGTATCGATCGTGTGAGTGTTGTCCTAAAAATTTTGCTAGGAGATCTCGACACTTTATGAATAAATTATTGATATGTGTACTAACAAAATTTTTGAAGGATTTAGAATATACTGATTTTGCACAAAAAAAAGTGTCCCACAACTTTACACGCATATAACAAAGATACTACCGCTATAATATATAGAGTATTTTTTGCAATGAAGATCAGGGCGGATTTAGGAGCACACTAAATTTTTTTTTCAAGTAGGGCTAATATGTAAAAAAAAAAAACAAAAAAAAAACAAAAAAAAAAAAACAAAAACTTTCTACATACATTTTTTATACCTATCAAAATGAAATGGACAATATATACAATGATGTGACTACATGATTTCAAAATAAGAAAATGAGTTCTCAATTTAGATTGTACAATCTCAACCTCGTCAACATATGTATACATTTACCAAAGGGTTTTGCTAGAAATCCCGAGCCACAAACATGTGTCCCCGGGAAATCCCATGCTACGTGGCCCGGGATAAATGGCATTACTCTGATCCAAATAACTTATTTTTAGTCAAATGCTTACGTAATACTTTTATTTGTCTAATGTATTAAAAACAAAGAATTGTTAAAACACAAGAAGTTATAAATATTACCCTATTACTTGTGAAATTACTTATATGCATAAGTATTTCGAATCTTCCTTATAATTTACTCAACCAATATCCTTGGACATATTACAATGCCTTCGAAAAAATTCAAATAGAAGATTAGTAACTCTTCATTTTGGTGATCTATCCTAAGCTGAGATTGTTGAATGATTGTTCTAAATTTCAATAGTTTATTAATTATTAGCTTAAACTCACCATTTCAGATGTTTTCATAGAGTTAGGTGAAGAATTTCGATACTTAATAACTCAATTTGATAGAAAAAATACTCTACTTCATCATGTCATTACTTGTTACGATATTTTATACTTGCGATTATCTTACAATACCCAATTACATTATTATAATATGATTTCAATGCATAATTTAATGCTCTACTTAGTTATTCTACCCATATGTTTCTCAAACCCCTCCAATTTGATTTTTCCCAATCGCTCCACAGTCAATCTCCATTTTGAATTGAAAAAGACAATCAATTCGATATCTAGGCATTTGTTGCATCATAGCGTTATAGTGGGATGAAAAGCATTATGAAAACTTCATGGACCAAAACCAATCGAGGATAGAGATTTCAAGATTGTGTTAACATTGGTGTAAAATTCCACCTAAATCTCATGAACTTGATTATCCTCCATTTGTGAATATTTTTTGAAAAAGTTCCACTTCCTCATTTAATTCTAGGAACTAAATTAGTTGAAAATAATATTTGAAGCACCAATTTGAATTTTCCCCCGAACTTCATTGACCACACCTAAAATTAGTTATAGCACATTTTAAGCCACCTGCCAATTTATGAACGCACCTTTTAGCACGCTGAGTTAGGGTTTCACAAAAAAAATCCAATCTCACCGCCGGTGCCGGAAAATTCTTGATAGACGACCACAGCATGGATTTCGACGAGTACGAGTACTTAGAGAAGACCGTGGAAGAAACCAACGGCTTAGTGAAAACTAGCAGCAAGGAAACTTCTGAGAAGGAAAAGGACGAAGAGAAGAGTGAAAAGGGGTACAGAAGAAGGGACAGGAGCGAGGAAGATGATTTGGACGAAGAGGAAAGAGATAGAAAGAGCAGCAGCAAGAAACGGCGAAGCGACAGGGACAGTGAAGAGAACGGGCGCTATAGAGACCGTGATCGAGAAAAAGAGCGGGACAGGGATAGAGATAGGGATAGGGAGAGGAGTTCCAGACATAGGAGCCAAGAGAGGGATTCGGAGAGGGAAAGAGATAGAGAGAGGCGGAGCTCGAGGGACCGAGACCGGGATAGGGAGAAGAGAGAGAAAGATAGGGAGAGGGAGAGGGAGAGGGAGAGGGACAGGGACAAAGATAGGGAGAGGAGAGATAGAGAAAGGGAGAAGGAAAAGGAGAAGGAGCGAGAAAGGAGAGAAAGGGAGAAGGAGCGGGAGCGAGAGAGGGAACGGGAGAGGTTGAGGAGGAGCAGGAGTCGATCGAGGCTGGATCGTGAAAAGGAGATGGAGTTGATGCGGGAAAGGGAGCGAGAGCTTGAATTGCGTGAGAGCAGGTGATGCAAACTACCTTTCTTTTATCGGTGTTTAACCATCTTTCTCAAAATTTAATTGCTGTTTTAGGTTTTCTAGTTATTCTTAATATTTGATTTGCTTTTAACAGTGAGGACTTTCAAAGTTTGGTTGTTTTGGTAATTTTTATTCGGATTTATTTATTTATTTTTATTTTTTTATTTTTGGGTGGTGGTGGCGGCAAGGTTTATTTAATCTGGTGGAACAAACTTTCATTTTGTTGTTATAGTTGAGGGAATTGGTGAAATAGAGTGGCTTCTTGATGCAATGCCCTGTTTATCTTGTTTTTAGTTTTTGTTTCCTAGAACTAGAACTTGGTCCGTAATAAGGTGAAAGCTTCAATTTTGTATTTGCAGATGCTGTTTTGACTTGAACCCAATTCTACATCTCTTTCCTTTCATTTCTTGAAGTCATCCACACGGCTGCCTTTAAGAAATTTGCATCCATTTAAATAATTAAGAATATTTGTTTGGTTGTTTCAATTCACAACCATTTAGTCCCACTGGTAACTGAATTTAGTTTGTTAGATTAAGTATGTTCTGCTGAATATATTTTCCTTTCAGTAACTGTCAATGGTTTTCAAAGTCAAAATTCAGTAAAATGATCTCTTTTCATTTTAGTAAAATATTATTTCCCCCCGGTAACCCTTGCTGTGGGATTGAAACATGATGGAAATGTATAAAATGGTCTGGCTTCAGAAAAAAGTGTGAGTTTATGCGTAGAGGATATAATATTCTAACTTGGATTGAAATCGTAGATGGATTGTTTGCACATCTTAATGGGCTAATAATGCGGAAATCCCTTGAAGGCTTCTTCATTGAAGAAAATGGCTTTTCCACATATTGAGTTTGATAAGGTCTGTTGAGTTTCTTTATTTGGGCTTTAAGATTTGGTGTACTCTTCCATCTTCTAATGTTTTGTATAGCTGGATTTAAGGTTACTTTCTTACCAATGAGCTGAGATGTTGACCGCTGGTGTGTTGAATTTTTAGGTCTGCAATGCCTGTGGTGAAGCTGTATCAGTTTTCAACATTTTCTTCACTTCGCAGACGAAAATGCTTTAGCTCCATATATGTGGCCTTCCTTTGCTCTGAACAGGGATTATAAACAGCAAATGTCACTATTTGGAACTGACCCAAATATTACAAAATGTGAATAGATTAAGTGTAAAGTTTTGGAACTCATAATACATTTGATAATGGATAATGCTTCATAAATTTAAGGAGAAAAGTTGTACACCTCCTTTTTTGTCCTTTTACCTTTTAAATATGATGGACATAAGATTGGTTACTCAAAATTGTTCCCTGGCTGCAAAATTGAGCAAGACTTTGGAGATTTTTACCAACTTTTCTTTTCAGCGTATAAACGATTTGAGTATCTTTAGCCATGTAAAGTGGAATTCACTCATAGGATGGTTGTGAATTTTGAGTGTATGGGTCTGGAAATACATAACCTTGGGGAGAATATAACCAAGGGTTTGGGATTTTGTTCTTAATATAGCTTCCAGAACACAGACAAAGGCTTCATATATCTTAATGTTGATGTGTTCCTACTATTGGATTTATACTCATATTTTTCTGAGTGGGTTATGCAGGAGATTTAAGGAAAAGAAAGAAGTAGAGCCTGAAGCTGACCCAGAAAGGGATCAAAGAACTGTGTTTGCATACCAGGTCTGGTACACTTGGTTTATGTCTGGAATAACCAGTCGTTTTTAAATCAGCTAAATGACTATTGATTTCCTATTTTTTCTTGTTATGCAGATGCCACTTAAGGCCACTGAGAGAGATGTGTACGAGTTCTTTTCACAAGCAGGAAAGGTATGTGAGGATTTTGAAATCATTGAAGTGTTTAAAATGCTACCTTTTCTTTATTGTTCACAAGTACATGATCATTTCGAGGCATATAATCACTGTACTAATGTAGATTGCATATTCTGCTGTACAGAATTTACTGATTATTATTAATTTTTATTGTATTATTGATCGATATTGTAAGTTATTACTTCTTAATTATAGTTTTCTTATCAAAATGCATCTCCTTCCTGTTGTTGTAAATGTACCTCCACTTCAGTTATGATTAGTGTAAATGCTTTTTTGAGTATTTACGTGCTATGTATACATCTCCTTCCTATAGCTGTAGTATGTTGTGATGCTTGGACTCGTCTTTCTGGACGGCATACCCGTGTCGACACAACATGATACGAGTATTGTTATGAAATATGGGAAGGACACGGGGACGGAACTTGGATGGTGCCATTGTCGTTGCAGACTGAAAGTCGTGAATATGGAAGGGTTAGGGAAGAAGAAAAGGTTTTCTCGGACTATGGCCCTTTAAAAAAAAATTGGGCTTTTGGTCGTATTTTTTTATTTTTTAAATCCACCTGCCTTTAGTTTTGGGTGGGCCTTAATATGTACAAGGAAATGAATATTGGGATTTTTTTAGCAATATCTTGGGCGGGGAAATGATTTGAGGAATGTTTGGTAGTGTAAATGGGCTTTTGTAATTGGGTAATTTAGAAGTGATCTTTTTTTTTTTAAAAGAAAGATATCAATTTTAATTTAACATTGCAATACTCGTGAGATTAAAATATTTCGATGTAATTTATGAATATTTTATTAAAATGTGTTATGTGGTTAGCACTTTAAAAATATTTTGATGTAATTAGCACTTTAAAAAAAATTGTTAGTCCCATGAAATTGATGATTACCGGTAGATAGATTTTTTAAAAGTGTTTATAAACAGGTATGTAAAATCAACTTATTGGACCATTTATAAACGGGCCGCCATATTAATTGATTTTATTATAAATTATAATACATAAAATGCAATCACATCTACAACAAATGAAAATATTTTTCTTATAAATTTATGGGAAAGAATTGCCACGTATTATAAATTACAATATATAATTTGCTATTTAATTATTATTTAAACTTTTTATACGTGAATTTTGGAAAAAATTGAGGTTTCAAGGACGTAACCATGTACCCGTGTCCGAAATTTGGACTCTTTTTAATCATGTTCTCGCATCCTACATTTTATTAGAAAATAAAAGATCCAATACTTGGATACATACGTGTACCCGATACCAGTACATGAGTCCGAGCATCATAAGTAGTATGCATATTCTGCTAGACATAATTTTCTGATTATTATTAAAACATTTTTGTTATGAAAACACATCTCCTTTTTGTTGTTGTAAATGGACCTCCGGTTCAGTTACAATTAGTGTAAGTGCTTTCTCGTGTATCGCATTCTACATTTATGGGCTGTGTAGAAATTGTTTGAATGGGCTATCCTGTGGCACCTTTGGCACATGTTGAATAGTACTTGGAAGCATGGGATGTTTCTGAATTATTTTTATCCTGCAACTTTATTTTTTTTTGACACTGTACTTCCCATTTTCTATATTCAGGTAAGGGATGTACGACTAATTATGGATCGGAACTCAAGGAGATCAAAAGGGGTTGGGTATGTGATCTTGTGCTTATATAAGATGTATCAATTTTCTATTTCCAACTTTAAAAAATGTCAAATGTACCGATTTTTCTTTGTTGCATTGTGATACAAGAATTATGTTCCAAGTTTGATAATGCTTTCTTCAACATTCAGCGTCTCATTCTCTTGACCATGAGCAGCATTCCTCTGTTACTCTGCTGCTGTAGTGATTATAATATCTATTTATTGATGGATGCACTACAGCATTGTGTAACACTGTACTCAAATTTCTTCCTTTAGAACATTGTAATGTAACCTGTAGCTTTCCATTGGATCTTAGTTGGATTTTCTTTAATTTCTATACTTTGTAGAAGTGTAATTGTGGGTGTGATGTGAGATCTTAGCCAAAGATTGAATGTGGAGAGTTTGATCTTCATTAGAAGTACCTATACAACCTTCAGCTTTCCTTGATTCTTCGACAGTAAGGTCATCAGATACGTATTTCTAAGATAATTGGGCCTCCCACCATTCTACTTTATTTCCATACCTTTCTTTCTAAATGATGGTTAGATTTGTGGGTCCTTAATAAAATAGTGAAATTGGTTGAAAGTATTTCTAGCTTTGTTTCATTTTGACCTGTTTGGCGTGGTTTGGTGGTGACTTCACTAAGTTTTTGGAGTTGCAAAATTTGTTATGCAAGTAACTAATTTTGATTTTTTACCATGGACCATGAATTTAAAATATAGGCTACTAATTAAATTAAATAGCAAGAAATACAACCAACATAGTTTATAAAGCTTGCACAAAGTTCAATAAGCCCCCGTTTGATCCCCATTAAATTCAATTACATTACATTACATTTTTCTCTCTTCTATTTTCAACCACACAATCTTCCATAAAATAATATTATACGTAAATAGAAAACTTTTCCTTCTTTTTCAACCACTCATTTTTCTAAAAAATACTTCTCCCCCCATTTTTAATTTTCAGAAAATGAGGGTCAGACGGGGGCTAAAGGAAAGACTAATTGGTGATATTCAGGTGTTGACCTGTTTGTACTTTTTGACTTGGAATTTATTACTCTTTTTATCCAGAGCAGTTTGTAAAATTAATGTGCTACCATAATGCCTTAAAGCTCGCATTGTGTGTCCTCATCTTATGTTTTTTTGCGCTTGATGCATTAACTGCTTATTTTGATTACAGGTATATTGAATTTTACGATGCTATGTCTGTGCCTATGGCTATCACCCTGTCTGGTCACCTACTTCTTGGACAACCAGTAATGGTTAAACCTTCAGAAGCTGAAAAAAATCTTGTCCAATCGAATACTTCTGCTGGTGGTTCAGGTGTTGTTGGACCTTATGGTGCAACTGAAAGGAAGTTGTATGTGGGCAATTTACACTTCAACATGACAGAATTTCAGCTTAAACAGGTATACGGTTTGGCATTGCCATTTAATTTCATGCTTTTCACTTTGCTGTTTATTACTCCAAATTTAACAAGAAGACCTATCTGAAGGTTTGGAAATGACACCTTTGTCGACCTTGATATACATTCAGCATGTCTGGCCTCTAAATTTAATTACCAAAATGTGAAAAGGCTGAGCCTTGCAGGAACTATTTCTCGCTCCTTTCTATCTGTTCCTTGTTAAGTTTGTCTGTCCCAGTTGAGTGTCACAGTGTTGGTTGGATTGCAGTAGTCTTCTGCCTTCTCAAATTTCATTTGACATAATCTTGATAGCTTCTGATAAGCAGAGCTAGGAGTTTTTCTCTCTCTTAAACTCAAATTTTTTATTGGGAATATTTTTGAAGAAAACTATTATACTATTAGAGTACATCAAAACCTGCTGATATTTATTTATTGTTACTTAGATTTTTTCCCCCCAAAATGAGGCACACTTAAAATACTCATTATGAGTGGAGATTTTTATTTGATGGGGTGACTAAAGACTGACATGGTTTAAAACCCAATTCAGCTGCCTTAAGGCCCGCCTCAGTGTGGCGTGAAAAAATTCCTCAAGAAGCTGATTGCGAGGCAATTTTTTGAGGCGTGCGCCTCAGTTATGTGAGGCATGTGCAGCACTGCCTCAAGGCTTGTTGCCCACAAAACATAAAATTTCTTATTGACCCATTTTGACAACAACTGGTCGCTAGAATTTTTAAAAAAAATTGTGTTTCTCATAGACCCAATTTGGGAATAGTCCCTTGTCCTGACCAACTAGAATAACAGTTTCTCCATACTAGCTTTTTCATTTGTTTGTTTGCACGCTTTAAATTGTTCTATTATTGATTCTGAAGATGTTTACAATGTATTATTAGCCTATTTTGCATTATAATGATTTTTTTTGGGTTAATTTTGAGGCTTACGCCTCTTCTCACTGATCCTTAAGTAATTTCACTGCTATTCTGCTGTTTGTGAAAATCACTTAACTGGGAACCTATCGTTTGCTTGTTTGTGAGTATTATTTACAAGTTTCCATTATTAAACTTCAGTGTTCAATTATTTTTTGAGTTGTATACATCTCTTGATGTTTATACTTCTCCCTAGATTTTTGAAGCATTTGGGCCTGTTGAGCTTGTGCAACTACCCACGGATCCAGAGACAGGACATTGCAAAGGCTTTGGGTTTGTTCAGGTCAGTATTTTGCGGAAGTTGATTGTGTTGAAAAGTTTTTTGCAATATCTAGGATTTTGATGTTTTCATCTTATGCTTTAACCTAAATTTTGTTGATTCAATATCATTGCAGTTTGCACAACTTGAACACGCGAAGGCAGCACAAAGTTTGAATGGGAAATTAGAAATTGCTGGTCGGACAATCAAGGTATTAGGCTTATATCACTTTAACATTCTATGTTGATACCGTGGATATGCGCGTATTCTTAACATATCCGCCAAGAGTACCCTCCTCTTTTCCTCTCCTCGCTTCATGGGCAATTTCATTTGACAGTTTGTTTCCTGACTCACCTCTTTCTGCACTGAATTCAATACAGGTTTCATCTGTTACTGATCATGTTGGAGTTCAAGATGCAGGGGCAAAAACTGCTGATTTTGATGATGACGATGGAGGTGGTTTGGTGAGTTAAATTTTTGTAAAATTGAATTTTGGCATTCAGTAATTGACAATATTCTTGTGAAGATGTGATTCATTTAAGGTTTCTAAATTGTTCTGTAAGTGCTGTTGTAATACTGCAAGCTGACAGGATAGTTATGCTTTGCTTAAGTGGTTAACAAATATTCATTTTGTAGCTGAAAGTTGCTTGATGAGCAGCTGCATTTCTTTTTTCCTCCATTTTTTTTATGTTTGATATAGAAGTCAGCAAAGTGTGACTTTGTAAGTAACTGCAGCAATATAAGGCTATCCACCAAGGGAGAATGGAACGACTCTATGATTTGCAGGATGAGAACTAGAGTGCAGTCAGTCGATGTTAAAATGTGGTAACCTTGGGATAGAGTTTTTTTGGATTTCATTGATCTTGGCATTAATTTGATTTTGCAAAATCATATGTAACTATATGACCATTCTTGAAAGTTGATGAATTTTTCGCTATAACAAGAGATCACAAAATCATGAGAACCCATTCCCATCCTAGACAGATGTCTTCTATGTGAGAGTGGTTGTTAAAAGCTTCTTTCATCCTATCTGGTGGAATAGGTCACATAAGTTAAGTGCTATTGGTCGTTTCTTGAGTTGTCCGGCAGAGTGTTCAAACACGTGCATATTTTCATGGGTGTCTTCTGGTTTGGTATTTGTCATTCGCAACTCTTTATTATTGGGGAAATTTAGTGCGTATGACGAATAACATGGAAAATTGTGCATTTTATTTTAAGGCTTGCTGTTCTTATTTTCTAGTGGTGATAGGGTTGTAAACGAGGCTCTACTATTGTATGTAATGCACTAGGATTTGTGTCCAAAATACAGACTTGCATGGAAAATATTAATTAAATCTTGGATGGAAATTTCTTTTACTTGCTAAGACTTCTTCAGAAAAATCTCCATCACTTCCTCATCCTCAACCTTTTGTCCTCCTTGTAATAATAATAATAATAATATTTATTATTATTATTATTATTAATTTTTTTTTGCATAAATGATGTGGAATAAATTGTCTGCAAAAACCATATAAGATTGCCTTGTGAAAGCTGAAGCTTGGGGGCATACAATTACATTGTTTGATTCGTTAACGGTTTGTATGATTTTTACAGGCTTTAAATGCTCAGTCTAGAGCTTTGCTTATGCAGAGATTGGATCGCAGTGGTATTGCTTCAAGGTTTGTACATGGGATTAAATTGTATTCGCTCCTTAGTTTTTTCTTAACTTTCTACTCCGTCTTGATTGTCCATTTTTTTCAGCGTCGTGGGTCCCCTTGGAGGAGGGCCTGGGCTCAATGGATCGGCTACATCACAACAAGCAATAAACTTGCCCCTGAATCCGACAACAGTGCTTCCAACTTCAGTTCTTCCAGCCCAGGTTGCTTCTATGGCCCCAGAACCTATTGGGAACCCCAGCGAGTGTTTACTATTGAAGAATATGTTTGATCCAACCACTGAGGTTAGTGTTAATTATATGTTGTTAATGATTACAATTGGTGGAATATTTTGTTTATAATTTTCTGTTTTTGCTTACTTATGACATGGCAGACTGATGAGGAGTTTGATCTGGACATTAGAGATGATGTGCATGAAGAATGTTCCAAATATGGGCGGGTAAAACATATATTTGTCGACAAGTAAGTTTGTTTATAATTGTTATTTATTTATTTATATTTGCATGTTATATATGGATACTGTGATACCTTGAGAGCATGGTAATCTTGAATACACAACCACATGAGGAAAGGGAGCTCTCCCGTCATAAGGGAAAAAAGAGAAGTCCCATCCCTGTCATTTATATCTTGTCAAGTTTATGCTTGTATCTATAGTACAATCAATTGTGCTTATTGGCTACGACCGGGGGGGGGGGGGGGGGGAAAAAAAAAGGGGGGAAAAAAAAAATTTTTATTTCAAAAAAAAAAAAAAAAAAAATAAATATATATATATATATATATATAAGAGCAAGCTTTTATTGCTTTCTATATTAATTGATATAAGTACAAGACAACTGAACAAACAAGGAAATAAAAGAGCAAAGAAACTTATTATATTGATAGCTTAATAATGACAAAGCCAAACACATGATCAAGGGGGGGGGAATAAAAAATGGAGGACCAAATTAAATCTTAATCTCATAATCACACTTGGTGAAACAACTGGATGTTGCCTAATAATATTCTTCTGACTTACAGGAATAGTGCTGGTTATGTATACTTGAGGTTTGAAAGTGTGGAAGCAGCATCACGTGCTCAACTAGCAATGCATAAAAGATGGTTTGCTCGTAGATTGATCTCAGCCATATTCTTGGTAATATACTTGTAACACATCAGCCCACATCCCCCTTAAGGAGAGCCTAGAGCTAGAAAAATGGCTGCTCTTATTTGCCACTTAACTTTTGGGAAATCAAATTGATTTTCTTTTAATTCTTAGAAGTGCCCCAGTCTCCTAGTTCCCTTGTTGGATCTTGCAAGATTCTTGACAAGGGGTAACCTCTATTAACCACACAAATAAGAACTTTTTTTATGTCCAATAATTATATAATGAATTGAGACTAGGAAATAAGCTCACGCCTTCTTACTGCACTCTATCATCTTTCCTTTTTTTAATTTTTTTCCTCATTTTGTTTCTCTGCTTCAAACAATGCTTCATTCCTCCTGGAAATTATTGCAAGTGAATTTGGGGAAATGTTGTTTATTTAAAAGTTCTGGGAGTTATATTTCTACCTAGCATGAGAAGTGTTTATGTATAGTTATTTCTAAATTTTGTTTTAGTGAAGCTTACTTGAGATTAAAATTGTATTAGGCCTAATGCAGCATTGTAAAGTGAAGCTTGTTTTAGGTGATGAACTTATGGTTTGGATAGTGGCTTTAGTGATAAAACCTCATTGTGAACACTGAGCAGTTGACGTAGATTTGTGAAAATTGATGTTTGGAGGATGTGTGGTTAAAAAGTTGTAAAAAGTTAAGGGTCGACATATAAAATTATTTAATTGGAAGAATGTGTGAATGTTAGTTCGAAGAAAAATGAATTTTAAAGATTCTGTACCTAACAATCGCTGAATTTCATGGAGAAAGAGGGAAAACTGATTTTTCGTTGTATGAATTTGGATGTGGCACCAAAAAAAAAAAAAAATGAAAAAAAAGAACTCGATCCTTTATTGCAAGTTGCGTTTGCGAAGATCAATTTTGGGGACTCACCTCTAACCATTTAATGTTTGATGCAGAGTCCTGCATTTTTTTTGCTCATTTTGCAGTTAAAATTTCTTAACCATTGTAGATTATTTGATCATTTGTGAGTGAGTTTATCTTTATTTTTGCAGCAACCATACGAGTATGATGCCAAATTTAAAGGTACTGCTTGAACAATCTACTATTGTTGATCAGTCGGGAAACATCAGATGATGCTATCTGGTATGGATTTACTTTTGTGGTTAATCTTTAATGTTGTGATAAAATCCATGTACTAGTAACGTTAAATTTATAGTTCAGGTGTTCGTAAATGTTTTTGTGGAATATTTTTAATTACTGAGTTCGAGTGGATTATTTATATCTGATCAATTCATGCACGCACGAACGATCAGACTTCTTATATTCGTTACAAAAATGTGAAAGTTTATATCTTTGTAATGCTCTCTTATTCTGCTGATTTCTTTGTATTTCTGGAGGTAGTATGATCCACACCTCTTTTTGTACACCATTATAATATCAACTTGAATGCGTGGATATTCATTGTTTTCTCATCTTGGGTAAACATTAGAAAACGAAGGTATTATTATGACAAAGTTTCGTACATTTTTAGTTTAGACCGTAAGTCAATTAATTATCCATAGTATGACCTTGATGAACAAAGTAATTACATATCAAACAGACTTCATCCTGGTCTGTGTGGCTAGGCTCGAACTTGGTTTCACTAGCTCGGTACATCTGATTTTGTTGAAATTAACTCATGTTTAGACTAATCCATTTCTAAGCACCTCAATTAATTTTCTGATTCCCAAAGAAACTAACTGAATTAACATTCTACATTTCTCATGTTGCTGGTGTAATGACTAGGTTTTTGTGTTCAGTCGTTATATTTGCTTTGAGAGAGCATTTGCCCTAATTTCTCAAGGATCAGTTGTGGTGCTAGGATATAACTTAATTCTTTCATGAGGCAGAGGTTTTGGGTTCAAATTTTGAGGGATGCAATAGAAATTTGTGAGGGGATTAGGAGGGTAGATGCTTTCTCATAGTGGATAATGCATATGATATAACGGTTTGGGCACAAGAGTTGAATCGTTACAAAAATGCATGTTTTTTGGCACTTTCAAATTGTGGAACGTGGTAGAATTACGTGAGGCGTAAGATGTAATTAAGTTCTATAATAATGGACAATATTTAAGTGGTTTGGAAAAAAATTTCAAATCCATTGGTTTTCCTGTCTTTCACTCCAAGCCAAAAGTCGATTGTCGGCGCTAGGACTAATGAGTGGAAAAGATTGTCATTGTTGCATAACTGCTGCGACTTAGACGAACTTGATTTATTAATCTGTCTAATGCTCATACTGTTTCTGCTGTTGAAAATTGAAATGTTACAAAACTATGTAATAATTGACTCCATTTATGCTTTTGCAGCTATATTTCTATAGAGACTCCTAGCACGTTGTCTCAACAGAGGATCAAGTTTTCTAGCGCGAGATATTTACTTTATTTCTCTAGTACCTTTACTCGATTGAAGCGAAGTTATCTCGTGGCCAATACGATCAAATGGAAAGTCAACAAACATGTTTGTATAAACTACAATTAGTTTTGTGCCTATACTGTTCAAGGAAAAACAAAAATGGAAGGAAATGCAATAAGAACTTCCAAATTAACAATCAAGAGCAGAAAAAGTGGAAAGAGGATGGAGATACAAATCAATTGAATAGCCACCTACTTCATAAACACTAACGCTCCTTAATCTAGTGAGAAGCAAATGTCAAACTAATCAAAATAAATTACAGCCTATCTCATAAACAGCAGAAAAGAAAGTACCATCTTTTGTCCTAAAAAATCTAAACAGAAAAAGTACTTATTTGTACACCAAAACATAAGAATGAAGCAAGCACCGGCATATGAAAAGAAGGTTTTACATCGACTTATAGAAACAATGAATATTTAAACTTCCCACTCAAAATGCCGGATTTAACAGCATCAACGAATATTGAAACTCCAGCTTCTTATGTACTCGAAACAATTTATCTATGAGTTCACAGTACAATGTAAAGAGGTATGAAGCTTGACTCGAATGACCTATCGAATTTGGGGCAAATTTTAAAATGGCTGGATAATTGATCCAATTTTTCACAATGGCCTTTTTTTATAGGAAATGCTATTTTACCCTTACTATAATTATTTGCAAGATATATCTTATATCTTTAAGGATTTATTAATCAGGACTTATATCTATATTTTTCAATCTTTCAAACACCTTTAAATATTCTTTGTATTTTAGTAGTTCTTCAAAGATTCTAAGCTGACCTTTCTTGGTTATATATCCTTGAACTAATCCTTCTGAAATTTCTTTTTGTATATCTCTATGTTTAGTTATAATATTCTCTATCTTTCTTATTTTTTTACTAGTTCCTACAGAATCAAATCCTATATTATTTTTACAATTATAATTTATATCTCTATATATTTCTTCAATTTTTTCTTTGCCAATAGGAAATATATCTTCAGACTTTTCAGCTAATTTAAATAAAAACGGAACATCGTTTTCATTTAAAAATAATATGAGATTATTATCATTATTAGAAATAGATGTGGATGCTTGTGAATTGTTCATCAGAATAATTAAAGCATAAATATATAAGAATAAGTAGATAATTTACAGTAATCAAATGGAAATAAATAAATTTCTTGATTTATACCTTCTATATAGTCTTCAACTTCTTCAATTGTTTCTATTTCTATTTCTGATTGTTGTATCTCTTGATTCATATAAACTATCTTCTCATAATTTTTTTCTGATGAGGATGTATTTAATTCATAAATGCTACTGCATTCACTACTTAGATCTTCAAAATATTCAATTGGTTCTATGTCACTATTTTCTTGAAATTTTTCATAAATTCTAAGAGTTTTTACATTTTGTCTATCTTTTTTTTAGGACATTGAGGGGCAATGTGTCCTTCTTCATTACAAATAAAACATCTACATTTTTTAATATTTCTTGGTTTAAATTTCTTATTCCAATTTCTTTTCTTGAAATATTTTTTGTGTTGTTTAAAATTTCTTTTCTTGAATTTTTTATAGTTTTTGAATTTTCTTTTATATTTCTTATACCGTTTATATTTCTTCTTATGACATCCAAATTGTTCAATTTGGCCAATATCTTTGTAATAACATAATGAATTTTTTCTTATTTTATATGTTTTTTTACTTTCTAAAGCTTCTCTGCATCACATACCTATAATTCTTTTTGTAAATTCAATCATACTTCCAAGACTATCTATTTTTATTCATTCCTCTTCTCCTAAAGGTAATAATTTTTCATATTCTTTTAATAACTTAATTCCCCATGGGAATGGTAATTTCGTAAAATAAGATCTTAATTTAGGTTTATTTTCTTGATAATCTCCTTGATTTAATATATTATATATTTTTTTCAAATTTACAAGTATATCTTTCTAAGTCACACATATCACATATCTTTAAATTTTCCATTGCTATCATTCCTTGATTATATTCATCTTGTTTTCTTTCTTCATCATTAGAAGTATATTTATCTCCTAAGAATTCTGTTCTTAAGATTTTTTTCAAACCTTTTTAATATCTCATGTATATTTTATTCATTTAAAGTATTCCTATTATCTAATACTTCAGTTCTGCCTGCTCCATACTTTATCCTTCATTTAATAGTTTCTGGTAATTTTCTCCACCATTCAGAAACAATTCCTCTGAATGTATGTTCGATAAATTCAAAAGTTGTATATGTTTCCCATTTATTAAATTATATTGCTAAATCTGTGCTTTTCATCCATGTTTCAATAGCTTTATTTTTATCTACACAGTCTAGATCTAACCATACTCCTGTTGTGTGGATTGGTTCATTATAAGATTTCATTGGGTTTATTTCTTTTATGGACTGTTTTCTTACATTTTCAGTGTATCTTTTCTGTATTTTTCTATATCGGTAAATACCATCCTTATCAGGTATTAGGGTACCATAAGGATAATCTTGTTCTTCATCACTACTGAATTCTATTTTTATATTCTGATTTGAAGATGGATTAATATTCATCTTTGTATTTTTCATTTTTCAGTTAATTCTTCTAACTATTTTTTATATTCTTTATACTCTTCATCTGTAGATTCTAGGAATTTTTGTTCTATTTCTTCTACATCTGTAATCATATATTGTTTTTCTTCATGTTTTTTCCCTTTATTATTTTCCTTTTGTGTTATCTTAAAATCTTGAGGTGGATTAATTATAATCCAATCTTTTCTTTTAAAATTTTTATCTAAAAGAGCGCTTCCTACTTGTAGATTATATTCTAGATTTTCTAATCTTTTGTGTATATCCTCAAAACTTTCATTTGTGGTGTTTTTAGGTAAATAGGGATAACTAGGTTTTTTATGTTTTTCAACCTTTTTCAAAAATTCTTCAATTATATTTTCTTCATCTACTATATTTATCATAATTTTTGGTTCGTAATATGGCTCTGATACCATTTCTTCGGAGTGTGCAGTGGAGGGGTTTAGATTTTTGAACCAATTAAAATCTTCATAAGTAGTTAAAATATCACAATAAAATTTATAAAATCCACTAATTTTTATTACAACTTTTTCTTCAATAATTATATTTAGTTCTCTAATTCTTCTTTTCATGTTAAGAATTAGTTTATATATATCATTTTCTATTTTGATTGTACTATAATCTATAGAAATATTTTTATTTTTTAATTTTGGATCTAAATATTCTATGAAGAATCCTTTCAGATCTTCTTCTAAATAATTTAATTCATTTTCTGTTGCGTTTTTTAGATAAATAAAATTTGTATAATATTTGGGGTTAAATTTATTAAAGATTTTTGATCTATATTTCTTTGAGGACCTAATTGAAGGTTTATATATTATAGTGGTTTTGGTTGCAATTTCACAATAAGGGGTATTTTTGGAAAAGTTATTGTTCAAAGGCTATTATTCAAATGTTTATAATTTTTTGTCTAATCTTACAAAACTCTCTTTTATTTAGGCTATCTAAAGGTATTTCCTCTATCGAATTTAGGGGTGAGCATTTACTAAGATATAACTGCAAGATAAAAATGAGTCTAACATAGACTGAGGGTCTGTGGAAAAGTACTCCCGAAAATTAGCAACACAAAAACTTTCTACCATACTTCTTATTTTTTTGTATGTAAATCTATTCAACTGGGAAGAAATTGTCCCGAGAATGTAACTACCAACATGATTTCCTTAATCATAATATAATAAATCTGTTAAAAATTGCCTTCTTTGTCTTGTCATGGTTGAAATTTGTTAGCTACAAAATCTGAATATGATGGAAGTAAAAATCCTGTAGATGATGTTTACATAATATGCCTTGATATTGATGTCGTGAATTCATAGACGAAAAATAATCCATCCCTTTCAAATAAATAAGTAAAGAAACCATTACTAGAATATATTATAATCCTTTCAAAATGAATTTATAAATCATCTTTGAACTTAATTTTACAGATGAAATAAGAATTCAACACAATTCGAATTCTGACAAGCAGCAATATTTGTACAAAAATTCATATACTTTACAGATTGATCGATGAAAGAACTAAGATCAACATGCAACTCATGCACATATAAGGTAATTTAAGTCCATATAAAGCAAGTTCATTCCTCAACTTGCTAAGTTCTCGAGTCTTTATTAAGGTTATCGTATTAGTCATAAGCGTTCCAAAATTGTCAAGTACTTTTAAAGAGCTCAAATAGTATAGAATCAATACCCAAAAAAGCACCTTATGGGATAGTAATTCGTAGAATAGCATCAACAGGCTCATAAAATAGAGATAACCTTAATTTCAAAACAAGGCGAAAATACATTAGAAGTTCTTTTATGTTTTCATTTTAGTATTACACACAATACCTGGATCTATATGAGAATGGGAAAGAGTAAAAGAGGAGATCTCTCTTATTACCATCTGAATATCTCACAAGGCTGCTAAAGCTGATGTCTCCTGCAAGAAATAAGAAGAAGTTTTAAAATCAAATTAAATAAGCGAAAAGAGAGTTCTTAGAGAATCGTAGCATACCAGTAGATGCTCTGTTTACCACTCAGTGATTATGACTTTAAGCTCTTCATTTCCATTTTCTTCTTGTTCTTCCTGAATTTGCTTGGCAGATTCTCTAACAGCTTTCGCGCACCAATGTACCTCAATCTTCTGTAACGTTAGAATATCACCAAAACTAGGAGGGATCATCTTCAAATTGTAGCAATTTCGCAAAACTAGTTTTTGAAGTCTTGGAAAATTATCACTTGAGGCATTCCAGTCCGCAATTTGTACCCAACATAGTTTCAAGAATTTAAGTCGTAGGAATTCAACTCCACTTGTGTCCCATTGTCTGCCCTCGAAGGAAACATGTACTAATTTGAGAATCTCAAGGCACTGCATTTTCCCAATTATCTCCATTTGTTCTGGAGACGCGTGTATATAAACTAGAGTCAATTGTTTGAGATTTAAGGGCATACTGATCAAAGTGGAACATGGATCTCGCACGTCATTCTGATAAGGTAATAACTTCAGTGATTCGAGCCGATTATGGAAGTTGAAAGAATGATTGAATGAACATCTAATCCTGGCTTTCAATCTGCGAAGATTGGTTAAACATCTCAAAATTTTCTCATCTGTTTCATCAGAAATTGAAAGCACAGAAATACTATGTAGGTTATTATTTGTTAGGAAGTTTTCATCCTCAGTTGCTTGCTGACGACAAGATGCATTGAAGCATGCACCGCCCTTGAAATGCATGTGTCTCAAACTCACCATATTAAGAAAGTTCTCAGGTATTTCAATTTGATATGTATTTTCCAATACAAGAAATTCTAGTTTGCGAAAGCTTTCCATTGGCGGCAGATGTTCAATCCCTATTGGGATACGATATTTCGGAACAATGCAAACATCCAAGAACTCCAAGAACCTAAGAACTTTGAGGTTGCGTGAGTTTAAAGGAGGGCGCACAAGTTGGCCAAAAAGTAGCGAACGATTTGCAAATGGTTTGTAGTCAATACTCAGACAACGGTGTTGCTGATACATCAATACTTGACTGAAGAACCGTGGATCATCATGATTACTGTTAACAACATAGTCACATCATTGGTACGATCATCAGATATAATCACCATTATTAGCAAGCTAAAACAAAAATGAAGGAAAAGGAAAGAAAAAAGGAGAAATAGTGAACTTACATTTTGACCATCTTCAAATGTTCTTTTCCTTCACCTATTCTCAAGCACATTTCATACAATATATCATGAATCTTACAAGTTTTTACTCCTCCGTCAAATCTTCGTTTAACAACAAGTACCAAGCTCCTATCAATTAATTCCATAAGATATTTTAGTGCCACATCCTCCAAGCACTTTTGCTCTTCCTTCCTTATATATCCTTCTGCAACCCATAACCATATCAACTTTCGTACTGAGATTTCCTTGTCTTCCTCGAATGCTCCAAAGTAAAGAAAACATGGTTTCAGATGCATTGGTAAATGCTTGTAGCTAAGTTCCAATATCTTGATGCAGTTGTCGGGGTTTTGGGATATATATGAACTAAGATTTCTTGCAACGTTTTGCCACAAGTGTTCTTTCTTCTCCATGTTTGCAAGAACTCCAGCTATCACAACCACTGCAAGTGGTAGGCCGTCACAATTTGTTGCAATTTGCTTCCCAATGGGTATCAATTCTTGGGGACAATTTTTATCATGGAAGACTTTCCATTGTAGTAATTCCCAACATTCAACTTCTGTCAGAAAAGGAAGTGCATTTATGACACTACGAGGTGAAGCTTTCAAACCAACTTCTTTATTCCGAGTGGTGAATAAGATTCTGCTTCCAATTCTGTCGTCCGGAAAATACCTTTTCAAATCATTCCATACACTGATATCCCATATATCATCTATCACAATAAAGTATCGCCTTCCTTTTAAATTTTTGTAAAGTTTTTCGGCCAAACTTTCTTCCTCCATATTCAAAATTTTCTCTTTCTTACTGTTACCCATTGAGCTCAAAAATTCAATCAACACATTTTTCTTATTATATGTTTGGGACACAACACACCAGGAACGCTTGTAAAAATGATAGACAACAGAGGGATCATTGTACAATTTATTTGCTAAAGTTGTCTTACCAAGTCCAGGCATCCCAAAGATGGAAATGATTTGCAGGTGGTCTGTTCCTCTAACAAGTTGTTCTGCAATTTCAGTTGCCACTTTTTTAAACCCCACAATAGCGTCTTCAAAAACATGAGATTCTTTAGATTGCAAAGCTACTTGTTCATCTGGATAATTTGCAACTTCTAGCATTCCAGCTGCACCAACATTATTCTTCGTTTCTTTGATAGCCATCGCAAAAAGCTGAATCTTCTCAATGAGTTGAGGAAGCCGGAGGGCGAGATACCAAACATGAGGAAATGAATTGATAACATATTCAACTTCATATGCGATGTCTCCGGCTCGAATCACAAGTTCTTCATATTCTGTTTCCTGGTGCACTGCTATGTCCTTGACAGAAGATCCCAATAACATTAGCTCCTCATGAAGCATTACAATCTGATCGTTCACACCAACAATCCTGTCAGACTTGTTATTTATTAGGTCCATGAGATCATCGAGAACGGAATCAACAATGAAGAGTGAAACAACAGCAGTCTTTGGAGCCTTATAACACGGCATCTTTGCTACTGTGATGCAGTGATTCTTGATCTTTGTTTTCAAGAGATCAAACTTCCATAGCAAATATGAAAGTGCAAGATTTAATGTTTTAGTCTCGATGACACTGAAGAAACCTAAGAAACTTCGTAACAGAGATTTGATATCTTCAGTGGTTTGCAATGGTGTGTTCTTAGAATGTAGTAAATCATACAATGAGTGGCTCGGGAAATGCAAGTAACGTTTTACCTCTTTGACCACGGCTTCGATATCAGTGGTTGCATTATTGGTCTTTTCCACTTCAGGCATTTGGATGAATACAATAATGGCGAAAAAGAAGGAATAAAAGAAATTTCCTACTTCATTAACCACAGCTTCTATATCAATTACTATATTCTTGGTGCGCTGCAAATGCATTGCTTTATCACCAAGGAAAGTAATAAGAAATCCAAGCTCTGTCCGGAGAATTTCGATTGAAATCTTTACACAATCAATTAAACCTTCCTCAAAACGTAGGATGGCTTCTATCATCAGGAGGAAAATGTTGATTACGACTGCAACAGCTTCATTAGGATTGAGAGTAGGTGTAATACTCGAGAGGATTTGCTGGTTTGGGACTTGCAAGAAAACCTTAAGCTGTCGCCCAAGTGGCACAAGATTCACCCATTCCGTTTGTTCAAAACGCCATGAAATACCAATATTTCCGAAATTACAACTAATAATCTTTAAAATATTATATACCAATTGTCGATGTTGGGGGGACAATCTTGTTATATGCTCGGCCACAATTTTAAGGAGCCCTATCGGCCCGGTGAACGGACGTTTTCTCAGTTCATGATCTATAAACGATTCATCTTCATCAGATGACATAGCGAAAGATAACGAAAGTGGCAATGGAAATGAAGGTTTAGTTCTGAAAAGCAGAAAAGGTAAACGGAGAGAGAGGGCGTGGGGGAGAGAGAGAGGGATTTATGGAAAATGGGGGCACAGCTCCTAGGAAAGCGAGGAAATGGTGGCTAATGGCTGCTCCACCCACCCATTTTTTCACAAAGGCCTTTTGACCAAAATTTTCGTAATAAAAAAAAAAATTTAAACAAAATTGATAAGGTCGAAAATATCCTCCCATTTGCAAACCAAGAGGAGAGATTTAGAGAGAAAAAAGAGGAGGAAAAAAAAAAAGTAAAAACGTCGTCCGGATTCGACGCCTACCGATGATCCGGACCTATCCCGACTTCGACCTCTCTGAACACACCACGATCAGCCGGAGAAACGCCATTTTCTGGAAGGTTAGAGATGTTCTTTATAAATAATTTTTATGAACATGTGTAAATTTGAATGTTTAGGATTTGAATTAGTTAAATTCAATTTTTTATGGTTAAAATAGAAGAAAAAGTCGAATTTGAGGTTGAAATGTTGGAAAAACTGAAAAAAAGAGACGGAGCTCGCCGGAAATGGAGTTTTCCGACGAGCTGCGTCGCCCTTGGTCCGCCTCCATTACGGACCAGTCCGTAACAGACCACCAGTTCGGGTCCGGACCTTTTGGCCTGTCTGGACCCGACCATTCATATATAACTTTTTTTTCATTAATTTTTTTTTAATTTTTATGTTAAAAAATGTAATTAAATATGAAATAAATAATATGTTAAGAATTAGAACGAAAATATTTAAAAATAGATTAAATAGAATTTTAATTTTTTGTTTTGACTTAAATATATGTTTAGTAATTAAATATTCGAAATAAAAAATAAATATATGTTTAGTAATTAAATAAGTTTAGTAATTAAATATATGAAAGAAATAAGATACATTTTAAGAAAATTAAAATAATTAATTATGGAAACAATTAATATAATTAATTAACAAAATACTTAAACGAAAATATTAATATATTTTAATTCAAATAAATAATCGAAATAGAATAATTAAACATGAAATCAATAATATACATAATTAACGAAATATTTAAAGAATAAATGAAATTGAATAATAATTTTCTTAATTAAGCAATTAAGATAACTAATTAAAGAAATAGTAAAATGAAAAATTGAATAAAATATTATTATTTTTATTTAAATGAATAATCGAAATAGAATAATTAAATATGAAATGAATAATATACATAATTAACTAAATATTTAAAAAATAAAATAAATTGAATAATAATTTTCTTATTTAACCAATTAAGATAATTAATTAAAGAAATTGTTAAATGACAAATTGAATTAAATATTATTATTTTTATTGAAATAAATAATTGAAATAGAATCATTAAATATGAAATGAATAATATGCATAATTAACAAAATATTTAAATAAATATTTAAATTGAAAAATAATTTTCTTACTTAAGCAATTAAAATAATTAATTAAAGAAATTGTTAAATGACAAATCGAATTAAATATTATTATTTTTATTAAAATAAATAATTGAAATAGAATCATTAAATATGAAATGAATAATATGCATAATTAACAACATATTTAAATAATAAATTAAATTGAATAATAATTTTCTTACTTATCGAATTAAGATAATTAATTAAAGAAATGGTTAAGTGACAAATCGAATTAAATATTATTATTTTTATTGAAATAAATAATCGAAATAGAATCATTAAATATGAAATGAGTAATATACGTAATTAACAAAATATTTAAAGAATAAATGAAATAGAATAATATTTTTTTACTTATCGAATTAAGATAATTAATTAAAGAAATAGTGAAATGAAAAATCAAATTAAATTTTTTTATTTTTATTGAAATAAATAATCGAAATAGAATCATTAAATATGAAATGATTCATATGCATAATTAACAAAATATTTAAATAATAAATTAAATTGAATAATAATTTTCTGACTTATCGAATTGAGATAATTAATTAAAGAAATAGTGAAATGAAAAATCGAAAATAATATCGAATTAAATATTATTATTTTTATCCAAATAAATAATCAAAATAGAATAATTAAATATGAAATGAGTAATATATACATTCAGATAATTAACGAAATATAATTTTTAATGAAATATTAAATAATCAAATATGTGAGAATTTTTTTGTTTAACTGTTTTAATATGTGATTGGATGAATCTATTTATTGCTTTATTAATTGAAATCTGATTGGTTAATTTTGAAGATACGATATTTTATTTATAATCTCTTGTATATGGTTTTAACATGTATTATTTTTGTAGGATGAAATATCATATTGACAATGATCTGAGAGCTCATTTGGGAAAAGTTACGACGTATTGTAACTTTTTCAGTTATGCGACCGTGATTGAGGGATTGGATGAGGAGCACATCGGCATACTCCATCGGTCGTTTTTATGATCATTCTATCCGTTGAAGGACGTGCAGTTCTCGGGACAGATTATTAATTCGTTATTACTCCGACTGCTTAAACCAGTCGATGGAAATCAGCTTTTTTTTGATATGGGGGACGGGCAGGTATCGAGATTTTCGATCCTTGAATTTGCCCTCATTACAGGCTTGAGATATATAGGAGAAGAAGAAGCGAGAGCCTGTATTATATCAAATAAAATGTTATTAGATTTATATTTTGGAGGTAAAATGCCGGTTACAACACCACAGCTAGAGGACGCATTTAGGAGATGCGATCACATGTTAGACAAGCTTAAGCTAGGATTGGTGTATATACTGGAGAGTATATTGAGGTGTCGACATCGTAGGACGTCGATTGACCTTTTTTCATTGGATGCTGTTGGTGATAACGATGCTTTCAATAGCTTTCCATGGGGTCGAAGATATTACTCCGATACTCTCCACGTATTCAGGAGGGTACATACTATGCCAAAATCGGAGAGGGGCGACCGCAAATATGATGTATATAACTTTTGCATGGCTTTGCAGGTAAATATCCAGCTTAACATAATGCGTGTTAAACTTTTTTATTAAATGTGTGTGTGTGTGTGTGTGTGTGTATATATATATATATATATTTGTTATTTTTGCAGTTGTGGGTATATGAAGTTATCCTTGCTTTGGGTAGCAAATAGGCTATCAGAAGGGAGACTAGCTACCCACGAATGCTTCATTGGCGAGCACATGAGAAGCCATTGGCTAAAGATTTGATAACTATCCTCGACGATCCTCAGATGAGTATTATATATTTACAATTTATATTGTACGTACATTAACTCGGCTCGATACATGCTCGTTAACATGTTGAAATATGATATATCAGCTCGAAGTTCATGCTGAGTTGGTTGTTTCGATGGAAGAGGAGGATCAAATGTATGTACGTGAATTGCATGTTCGATCTATTGAAAACGATCCAGTGTTTGAGTTCGTTCCGGATAGAAATAGGGTACGTTTATTTAATATCATTATTTAATCTGATTTATAATATTCATGTGTGGATTATTAATATTAATTGTCTTCTCTATATAGGAGCGTCATCCAGTAGAACGACGAGCACTTCCACGTAGGAGATCTCCTTCACCTCCGCCGATGAGATCTCCGTTACCTCCACCGATGAGATCACCTCTACCGTCATTATCACATTCTCCGAGGAGATCTCCGTCTCCCGCACCCACCCACCTTCCACGTGGATCGCCTGCACCCAGTCAGACCCGTCATTCAGATGATTTCTTTGCACGCATGACTGATATTATTAGAGAGGAGCTGGGAACAATGCGAAGTGCATTTACGACAGAGGTAGTAGCACTGCGAGAGGAGATAGGGGTGTTGCGACGGGATATTACGACAGAGGTAGGAGTACTGCGAGATGAGATTGGAGTGCTGCGACGAGATTTAGGAGAGCTTCATACTGAGGTTGCAGCACTTCGGGGTGATGTAGCAGGCTTCCGAGGTTCTGTCAGAGGGAGTGTTGGGGAGACTGGTGTTCCTCGAGATTGGTGGGCAACGGCCGCAGGAATCAATGAGTTTTTTGATTCGATGCCGGAGCCCGGGAGGGAGGGGGTGGAGGTTGGGTCGGAGGTGCCGGAGGAGGTCGGGATGGCTGGGGCGGAGGAGGCGGGGGTGGAGGTGCCGGAGGAGGTCGGGATGACAGAGGGGGTGGAGGGATGGACAGGGGTGCCGGAGGGAGAGACAGGAGTGCCGGAGGGGGCGATCGAGGAGGTAGCGAAGGGGACACCATCTGCTGTATGACCGTGCCCAATGCTAAAAGGTGGTTCGAAGATGTACTGACGACCTCAGTTTGGCTCACTGATGATATAAGTTTTTTGAGTTTTCATTTATTATATTTATAGAAGTTTTTGGTTCATTTACTTAAACGTCTCTATCTTTTTTATTGGTGTTTTTTTTTGTTCCAGCATATCGACTTGGCTATGGAATTGTTACGCGATCGGGCTCAGAGATACCCGAGATCTTTATGACAGTCCTAGTCGAGTTATCCTGAGCTCTGAGTTTGTTCGTATCGTAGATATTGAGCATCACGAGCTCCTAAGCAAGGGGAATGAATATGTTCTGCCCGAGTACATGGTAGAGTGGGTGATTTGGCTACAGCCGAGGTGCGGAAAGCCGTGGACGGATTGTACACATATGTACATTTCAGTGATCGTGAATTCACACTGTTTTTCAGTGGAAATCGTATTTGCAAATTTCACTATGTATGTGTACGACTCTGATCACAGCTGTCTGACACAAAGTCAACTAGAGCACATTCTGGAGCCAATGGTTGTGATCGTGCCCATGATGGCTAATCAGGCGATGATTCGAGTAAATGACATATTAGCCATTGTGCGAAACATGACGACGGCAAAACAAGAAAGATCGTAAGGATTTAAAACTTTTTAATTTTACCTTTTAATTTTCAGTTATATGTTATCGAACTAATATATTCTTCTTCGGTTGCAGGGGCGACTGTGGCTTACTTGCAATAAAGTACATAGAGTTTTTGAGCATTGGCCGCAATGTTGAGACAATAAATCAGTCTTGGATTGATATGTGGAGGTATAAATTAGCTTGCGACTTGTATGAATATAACTGTGATCCTTAATGCATTGTATATTATTTTATTGAAATGTAAATGTTGTTTACTTCAGTATGATTCGTGTTGTAATGTAATAATTTTTTAAAATATTTGATTAACAAAATATTATTATTTTACTTTACAATGTTGTTGTGTCTGTAATATCTCCATATTGTCAGTTAATATATATCGTTGCCTCATTTGTATTCAAAGAAAATAAATAGAATAATTATTATTTTCATTTACATAAGTAATCGAAATATAGCAATGAAATATTAAATAAACAATATACACACTAAGATAATTAACGAAATATAATTTAAAAGGAATATAAATAATCAAATATACGTGCCAAATGAAGATAATTAATGAAAGAAATACTTAAATGAAAACTCGAACTAAGTGCTATTATTTTTATTCAAATAAATAATCGAAATAAGTAATTAAATATGAAATAATTAATTTTTTACTTAACCAATTAATATAATTAATTAAAAAAACTTAACCAATTATACATTTATTATACTTAACCTATTTTTTTTATTCAAATATGCTGTTAGAAAGAGTAATTAAATAATGTGATTAAAATTACATCCGATTTAAATTGAGAATAGAAAAAGCATATTACAAATAGAGAATACAAATGATTTATATAGATATTACACATCCGTCGAGTCATTGTTTAGTGGGATCTGACTTGTACAAAATCGACGTGTATGCCCTGTAGCGCCGCACCATCCGCACTTACGCGGTTGTGGAAACTCTCCTGTAGATGGTATTCTAGACGTCCGTCTACGACCAGGAGTATGTGTTCGAACTTCAGGTGGCAACAAATTATTAAGTGCTACAATATAATCAGGAACTTCCCACTCGACTTCATTTGGTAGAGGAAATATAGTTTCGGCATACGCTGCTCTCCAAAAATCAGCCATGTAATAATGACTGTATAAGCTGTGTGGTGGAAATCCTCTATACATAGCCACTGCGACAGATGCGCACATGAAAAACTCTCCAACTGAAATTGTCTACACGTGCAGGTATTGTCATTCAAGTCTACAATGTATCCAACATTACGCCCACATCTCACGGAGTAGCGAAATTGATCTAGTGGTTCCACAAATAGAGTTTTTGCCACTTCCAGAGTTTTGAATAGTCGATCTTCCCGTGCCGGAGCTAGCACACTTGTGCAATTCTGGGATTCCTTACGTTGGTCATAAAACCACTGTTGCAACTTGCTACGAATATGTTCAATCATTGCGAGAATTGGTAACTCTCGATCCTTCTTGAATAATGCATTGAGCGACTCCGCATTATTCGACGTCATCATGTTGTATCGACGTCCTGAAAAATGTGACCGTGCCCAATGTTCGACCCCCATATTTGATAGATATTCCCATGCACTTTCAGATTTATATTCTATTTCGCCCATGAACTTCGTAAACTCTTCAAAGCTGTAAGCTTCTGCAGTTCTTCTAAACAATGCAACGATGCCACTGCCCGGTACCTAGTCTTCAAGTTGTCCTGAATGTGGTACATGCAATAACCATGACGTGCTTCCGGAAAAACTTCGGCTATACCATTTATTATTGACTGCCCCCGGTCAATCACAAATGTAAGGTTCTCGATATCCCCAATTACTTCTCTCAGCTTCATGAAGAACCAACGCATTGCTAGATCAGTCTCTTCATCGACAATGCCAAATACAAGAGGGTAAATTTGGATGTTGACATCTTGACATGTAGCAATAATCAACTTCCCTTCATATCTAGCTTTTAGGGCTGTACCATCAACTAGAATTAAAGGTCGCATCGCATTTCGAAAACCTCTAATGCATTATCCAAGAGCCATAAAAAAATACTTGAAGCGATTCTGCCCATCGGTTTCAATAAAAAAGGCCGAGTCAGAATTAGTTCTCACCATGTTGTGGCAATACCTGGCCAATTTGGCATAACTCTCCTCTGTCGAACCCATTAAATCTTCCAATGCACATTCTTTTGCCTTCCAGGCCTTCTGGTAACTCATAACTACCCCATACTCCCGACGGATGTCATTAATGATATCTGTAGATCTGTAAATTATCCGTGGGTCCTGAAACTTGTGCATTATCTATCGACCAATAAACCATGATCGAGCTTGCCTGTGATCATTTTGACGAATACCCAATTCACAAGTAAGTTCCCGCGCATACTTGCGAACTACAAAGAACTCATTTGTGTCCATTTTTGTCGCTCTCAAACGCCAACTGCAATTGTTGTCCACACAAATAATTGTGTATGTAGACTTGTTTGATTTTTTTACCTTAAACTCAAAATTATGTTTAATTGCAATTCGATGCACAGCTTCTTGCAAATCTCTTTTCATGTCAAACAATTGATCAACATGTAAATCTTCATCATCAGGAACTATACGTGAACAATTAGAAGACCGTGTACTCGGCCCAGCATGTGAACTCCCACCAGACTCATGTCTCTGTCTAGATAAAGCAATCAAATCCTGATTTGTAAATGGCCTTTCATCCTCATTATCTTGAACTTCCTCGTAAATCCTTTGTGCAACGGTGACATCATGATGAGTAGCAACTGTCTTAGGAATAACCACATCATCATCACGAGCAATCTCAACAGTATCCCAAAAATCATTCTCATTACGATCCTCTCCATCGAAAACTTTGTGTTCACCTTCGGGGATATTTTTCTTCAACAAAGTTACGCAAATAGGAGTTGTCTTTCGACCTTGGTTTAATTGAATTACATGCTTTATTTGCACTTCAGAAGTAACCTTCAAAGGTGGAATCCAAATTGTTGAATTCTTTTGAAATAAAAATCCCAATTCCATATCGTACTGAGAGGAATCGACGTTAAGCATGTTTTCTATTTCATTGTACATTTTCGTAAACGATGTATTTTTTGTTATCGAAATAGCAGCAACCCCTTCTCCTTCACTCGTCCATTTCTATTCCCATTGACCATTTTGTTTCCTTTGAAATTCGCCGAAGTAACAGATTGGGACACATGCTTTTACCATACCTGCATTACGAATTAAACAATTATCAGTGACATCATAGTAATCATAAAAAATATACTCAAACTCGTTGTTTTGGAAGTGTTCCATAATTTTTTACACTATACAACACAATTAGCAACAAAAAAAGAATCAGTAAGAAAATTTAATTCGATTATTTATTTGAATAATTTGAATTAATATTTAATTCGATTTTTCATTTCATTATTTCTTTAATTAATTAACTTAATTCGTTAAGTAAGAAAATTATCATTCAATTTAATTTATTCTTTAAATATTTCATTAATTACGTATATTATTCATTTCATATTTAATTATTCTATTTCGATTATTTATTTGAATAAAAATAATAATATTTAATTCGATTTTTCATTTCACTATTTCTTTAATTAATTATCTTAATTCGATAATTAAAAAAAAATTATGAAATTTAATTTATTCTTTAAATATTTCGTCCATTACATATATTATTCATTTCATATTTAATTATTCTATTTCGATTATTAATTTGAATAAAAATAATAATATTTAATTCGATTTGTAATTTAATCATTTCTTTAATTAATTATCTTAATTGGTTAAGTAAAAAAATTATTATTGAATTTAATTTATTTTTTTAATATTTCGTTAATTATGTATATTATTCATTTCATATTTAATTATTCTATTTCGATTATTTATTTGAATAAAAATAATAATATTTTATTCAATTTTTCATTTTACTATTTCTTTCATTAATTATCTTAATTGGTTAAGTAAGAAAATTATTATTCAATTTCATTTATTCTTTAAATATTTCGTTAATTATGTATATTATTGATATCATGTTTAATTACTCTATTTTGATTATTTATTTGAATTAAAATATATTAATATTTTCATTTAAGTATTTCTTTAATTAATTATATTAATTGTTTCCATAATTAATTCACTAAACATATATTTATTATTTATTTCGTATATTTAATTACTAAACATATTAAGTCAAAAAAAAATTTCTATTTAATCTATCTCTAAATTTGGTTCATTAGCTTAACATATATATTATTTATTTCATATTTAGTTACATTTTTTAATATAAAAATTAAAATTGATTTAGAAAATTAAAAAAAAAAAAAGAAGAAGAAAAATTCGGGTCCCGAACGGACCACAATATGGTCTGTTCCGGACCACATGGTCATCAGCGGACCAGAACATGGTCCGTTGCGGACCAGTTCTGTTCCGCAGCGGACCATGACTGGTCCGCAACGGATCATAGTTCGTTCCAGCGATCGGTGCCGGCCTTCACTTCAATTCTAATATTATTTTCTTTATCATTTAAAAAAATATACGACTTCAATAAAAACAAAATTAAATACCAGGAAAAGATACTTACCGAATTAAAGTGCTGAAATTTAACGAAATATTTTTGTTGAGGTTGATAACTGATAAGTTTATGAAAT